CCGCGTAGTCCTCGCCTGCCCTCGCCGTCTGGCTGGGCAAAAGGGCAGGCGGCACTGCCCCCCGCGCCTGCGCCAACCACTCGCCGTCGGGCGTGAGAACCACCACTGCCCAGCCCGCGCTCCTGACCATCGGGAAGTCGTTGTTGACACAGGAGCCGTCCGTGAAGACGAGGGAGCCCGCGGGCACCACGAGCGCGCCCTCGTCCCAGCCACGCGAGCGGCGCTCCCAGCGAGGGTCCCAGCGCGGCCTCTGCACCAGGTACTGGGCGTCAACGAAGAGGCCCTGGCAGAAGAGCTCCTCGCAGCGGTGGCCCATAGTGCTCACCAGCTCGGCAGCTCGCTTCAAGTCGGCGGGCCTGCGATCTCGCCGCCAGCCCTCCCAGGCAGGGCATCTGTGGTGGCGGTGGGCCAGAGTCCCGCTCTCCTCGCCGCAGAGCAGGCAGCGGTCGTCGATGTCGGTGCCACGCTTGGCCAGCCTGGCCTGCGGCCATAGTGACAGAGACGCCAGCCTGCGCAGGCAGCCGCAGTGGTGGCTGGACCACGTCTCCGTGGGCGCGGCGCCGAGGAGCTGGTTGATGGCCCGCCAGTTTGGCGGCAGCTGCCACGGCCACAGGGTATCAGGCCTGGCGTCGTACTCCTGGAAGGCTGCCGCCTTCCTGGCCGCCTCCTTGGCCTTCTCCGCAAGGAAGGCGGGGGAGTACCGAAGGACGGAGTAGCAGCAGCCGAACTCGTCCTGCAGGTAGTCGCCGTCGTCGCTGAGGCCCCAGCCGATGACCTGCAGCGTGAGCACCAAGGCCGAGATCGGGTCCCTGACGGCAGCCCAGGGGCGCTGGAGCCTCACGATCCTGGCGCTCTCTGCTATGCAGGCCTGGATCGCCGCCGCGGAGGCCTGGCCTGCCCAGCGGACATTGGTGTACGCTAGGACGGCCAAGCCCGTGGCCACCACTAGCGGGTCCTGGCGCCAGCCTCGCGGCGAGCACTGGAGCAGGAAGCCCAGCGCAGCCCCAGGAGCCAGTTTGCCCGTCGCCTTGGCCGCTGCCAGCCTCAGGGCTCTCATGCGGCCAGGCGGGATGCCGTTGCAGGCCGAGCCCCATAAGGCTTTGGCTGAGGGGCCCGCGCGCAAGACCCTTGCCTGCCGAAGGCCAGGCCCGAAGATCTTGTGGAGCCTGCTGGCCTGCCGCAGCGCCGCGAGCTCTCCACCGACCTGAGTCGCGACTCGCCTGTGGCTGCCAGCCGTGGCGTCGACGCCGAGGTCACGGTGGCCCGAGACAAAGGCCTCGGCCGCGAGCCGCCAGTCGGGTTCCCGCTGCAGGCGGCGCTGGAGGCCCGCCGAGGAGGCCAGGACCTTCGTCTTCTTCCAGTTGATGGGCAGCCGCCTGTCCGCCAGCATCTCGACCACGCCGCTGACGGAGCTCGCGATCGTTCGGCTGAGCGTCGCTGTCGACCCGATGCCGTGGCCTGCTATGTCGTCGATGACGTTGACGACCCTGCCGACTGGCAGCAGCGCCCTGGCCTGGAGCAGGAGGCCGCGCAGCATGAGCCTGGCCAGCGTCGTCGCGCAGGAGCAGCCCGCGATGATGGTGCCGCTGACCTCAATGGGCTCGCTGATGGCGGCGTCCGCCGAGGCGCGGCGCGGCCCAGCGTAGAGTACGCAGAGGGCCCTGAGCAGACCGACGCTGAAGCCGTTGCCCTCCGCGGCCTGGCGCAGAAGGTCATGGTCGATCCGCTCGTAGAACTTGCTGATGTCGAAGTAGACGGAGGCTGCCTCGAAGCCAAGCTGGCGGGCGAGCGCGAGCCCCAGGTTGTGGAGGTAGGCCGCCCTGTCACAGCAGGTGTTCGCGTCCTTGCCCCAGACCTCGGGGAGCGGGTGGTCCGCCTCCCACTTGGCGCAGTAGCGGCGGCGCACCCTGCTCCAGATACGTGTCCACATGCTCATGATGCCGATCGGGCGGCGGCCTCCGTCGGGCTTCCCCAGGAAGACGGTCACCGTGGTGAAGAAGGCTGTGGGCTGCGGCTGCTGCTCCCAAGCCGTGGGCACCTCTGCCATCCTCTCGGCGAAGGGCCTGCCCAGGGAGAGGACCAGCCGCGGGTGGAACGCATCCCAGCCCAGAGCGGTCTGCTTCGGGAACGATTTCGCCGCCTCGAGGATGTCGTCCGCCGTGATAGGGGGCAGCTCCATGGAGCAGATCCAGTCGGCTGGTCTGGACCTGCACTCCCCGTCGGCACCTTTCCAAAGGGCCTTCCACTCAATAAGGATCTGGTCCAGGGCTTGCTGGCCAACAACTGGGAGCGGCAGGCTGTCGGGGCAGTGCGCGGTCACCGATTCCAGCACCTGGTCACGGTCCTTTATGACTGCGTGGGCGCCCTTTGCCCCCTTCGCCAAGGCCTCGTCCACGAAGTCCTTCCAGCGCAGCCTGGCCGCCTTGGCGTCTTCTTTGCGGTGCCTCTCCGTCGTGCTCTCGATCATCTGCAGGAAGACCTGCCCTTGCTCGGTGGGCTCCTGGATCACGTCTATCAGCGAGTCAAGCTTCGAGCCTTCGAACATGGCGCAGCCCGCCTGCTCGAACTTGGGCCCCAAGCTCTTTGCCACCTGCACCAGGTGCTTGATGTAGCCGACGTGCCCCACAGGGGGTGAGCAGACCGCAGCAGCCGCCCTGAGCTGCCTGGCGATCCTCCCGAGGCAGAGCCAGCACTTGGTGATGGGGCTGAGCTTTCTGACAGCCTCCGTGCGCTGCAGGTCCGCCAGCTTCTTCTTGACGGTGCGGGGACCTTTGGCCCTGCCCTGGTACCTCTCTCCCTCGAAGATGCCGAACTGGTCGATCAGGTGGAGCTCCGCGGCCTCGAAGAACTCCTTGATCGCCGCATCGGGCGTGCCGTCTCTGTCGGTGATGGGGGCTGTCCAGCTGATCTGGGTCGCCGCCTGCAGGGATATCTCACGCTGCTCGGCCGAGACCTCCGAGGCCACCTCGAAGACCCTGGGGGTCTTGAGGACCCAGACCATGGCGTTGCTGCCCAGCTCGCTGAACGTGAGCCGCACTGGTGCGTGCGGGTTCAGCGTAGTGGGCTTGATGACCTCCACCTTCGGGCTGAGGCCGGCGAGCGCCGTGGAGATCACGAAGAAGTCGTAGATCTGGTCGCCGAAGGTGAAGGTCGTGGGCGCGACTACCACCCCGCCCACAGCCCGTGGCCACCAAGAGGCGGCGAGCACGCTGGGGTCCATATTCCAGTCGGCCCCCACTATGAAGGGCTCGTGGAGGCTGAACAGGAACTCCTGGAGGTCCGACAGCAGCTCCAGGTTGTAGCCATCCATCCTGGTCGTGTGCTCGAGGTAGGCGCTGACCACCGTAACCACGAGATCGCCGAAGGCCACCCGTCGGGCCAGGATGCGGGCACTGTGCTGGTGCCAGTCGTGGTCGATAGCCGCCACGCCCCTAGACTTTGACGTCAGCACCCCGACGCCCGCCGAGACCGCCTGGGCCGCCTGCCCCGTGCCGTGGACGCTGCCGAAGGCAGCGCTGACACAGTTGCGCCTGGCCCAGCTGCAGGCGTCAGTCGCCTTCTGGCTGGAGGTGAAGCGTGTCTCCTGCACCAGGATGACGTCGTCGCCTCCTCCTTCGTCCTGGATCCGCTCCAGCTCCACCTGCGTCTCTGTCCAGGTCGAGCCGTTCAGTGTGACGAAGCTGGCTCGCTTCGCTCCCACTGGCCTGATCAGCTTGGCCAGCTGGAGGGGCTTGACCTGCGGTCGACCAGGCTGAGGCTGCGCCGCAGGCTTCACGACTGCCGCGGCGGCCGAGCGGCCGCCAGGCGGGCGGCTGCTCGCCGCCTTGGGTCTCCGAACCTCGGGGGGTCTCACGCCCTCGCCCGTAGCCTGGTCAACTTGAAATGGGTACCCACTATTCCTTATGGGCCCCTGGCTGGGCTGAGGACTGCCAGTCCTTCGGTCGGGCCCAGCCAAGTCCGCCGCAGCGCTTGGCTCTGGACTGCTGCTGAGCGCCTCGAACTTGGTGTCGTGGCGCGCGTCATCAAAGCGCCGGTCCTGGCGCAGCAGCGGCACTCTGAAGGGAAGCCCTTCCCAGGCGTCGGCCTGCTCATTGGCCGCCAGGTAGGCGTGCAGGCCGCCTCTCGATGGCGCCGCCGCCTCGGGGCGGCTGGGCTCCGCCGCCTCTGCCCCCTCAGCCCCGACTGGGGCGGGCGGCGCCGCACCGTCGGGGCCGCCTCCTGGCAGCAGGGTGCTACCCGCAGGTCTGGCCACTGCCAGCAGCAGCGCCAGCAGCAGGTGGAGGGGCCGCCGCAGCGGCCTTCTGGTCGGCTGCGCGCTGGCGGGCCGCCTCGTCTGCCGCTCGGCTCTCCACAGCGGCCGCTGGGGGGGGTCCAGCTCCTGGCGCAGCGCCTGCGGCTGGGGCGGCGGCGGCAGCAGGGGCGGCCGCCTGTCCTGAAGGTTGAGGCGGGGCGGCAGCACCCTGCTCGGGGGTGCCAGCGGCCTCGGCTGCTGCAGGCCCCTCCTCGGAGCGCTTGCGCTTCTTGGCCACCTCCTCCTCGATCTGGCGCTTGATGCGCTGCTGGTGCTCCTGGCAGTTGCGCTCGAACGTAGCCTGCGCGCCCTGCATGATCTGGAGCCCTTCCTCGCAGAGGCGCCTGAGGGTGGCCTGCGCCTCCTCCTCCAGCTCCGCGAAGTTGTCGAACGACTCCGCGTCGAAGTTGAAGGTGAGCTGCTTCGCTCCGTCGGGCTGTGTGCCCACCACGCCAGCCGCCTGGGCCCGCTGGCGCAAGAGGGCGTTCTCCTCCTCCTTGGCCTCCGTGAGGTTGACCGCAGCCTCGTCGCGCCAGCCGCGGCACTGGGCGAGGTGGTCCTCCGCCGCCACGAGCGCATCCGCCGCCTCGTCGAGCTGGCGCTGGAGGTTGATCCGCTTCGCCGTGGCAGACTGCAGCCGCTGCTCGAATGGCTTTGGCGCTGGGGCGGCCGCGGGCGCGACGAAGCACCGCGCGTCGCGGACCGCCTCCTGCAGCCTGGCCGCGATGGCGGGGTCCCCGCAGGCGAGGAGCGCGTCGAGCTCGCTCTCGGGCAGGGCCGACCAAGGGGCCTTCGGGAAGGCGCCTCCACCACGGCCGCCCGCGCCTCCGACGCCGCCGCCACGGGAGGCTGCACCGCCTCCGCCGCCACGGGAGGCTGCACCTCGGCCTTTGCCGCCCTTGCCGCCCTTGGCGCCATCCCTCGGTGAGCCTCCGCCGCCGCCTCCACGATGCGCGGGCGGGGAGCCGCCGCCGCCGCCATCCGCCCAGACCCCGACGCGGGGCGAAGGCTTCGAGGGCGCCAGCTCCAGCCCAATCCCACACTGCCAGCACTCCGCGTTCTTGCGGAAGTTCCAGCGGTAGCGGCAGCCCGTGCACACGACGAAGCCAGGCTCGGCCTTGGGCCCCATCGCTGGAGCGGGCGGGCGTGCTGCTCAGCCGCGGGCGTGCGGCAGGCAGGAGTCGACGGGGGCGGACCCACCGACTCGGAAGAAGGCGTGACCCGCAGGTCCTGGAGGGTGCTGCGGTGGCAGCACTCGCAAGTTGGAAAGGAAGGTGGCCTCAAAGCGGAACCTCCCTCGCGCTCAGAATTCGCCCCGAAAGACTCGCGGTCGTCGGGACGGTTCATTGCCTTGAGCCAAAATGGCTACGGAACGGTGTGGGCATTGGATAAGGAACCCGTAGATCAGGAATCCAGGGTCTGGAAGCCAGTGGAACTCCAATCGTGGATCGGCCATGGATATCACCACCGCCCTATTGGATAAGGAATCCTCCAGGGTCTGGCGCCTCCTGGGACTCTTCCTTAACAAACGCCTCCACCGCACGTGGCTACGCAAGGCTCCCAGGACTTGCCACCGAAGGATCTGCACTTCCGCACTTCTTCCGCCGGCCTTCTGCCGGCGGAGCCACCGCCGTTTCGCTTCTGCCAGCTTCCGCAGGCCTTCCGCCAAGGAAGAGATGCCAACTCTTTCGGCCCCTCGACGGCGAGGCCCTTCTCTGGAGCGCCCCATGTGAACGGGACGCTGGACCAGGCACGTCGGGGCGCTCTTGAGGCTGGGGTCCTCTGGCAACCAGGAAGCCAGGGCACGCCAGGGTCAAACCGAGGGCGAAGACCCGACGGACGAGACCTTCAGCATGAAGGAAACGAATTCTGGAGGAAAGGGGTTCTGGATTTTCTTCACCGCTGTCAGGTCTCAGGGGCCCTGGCCCCAAGGCCGTCAAACGATGGCCCGGGACTGAAGACTGGTCCCGGGAGGAAGCCCGGGTCTGGGAGCCGTTTCCCTCGGGACCCCTTTCCTTCTTGTCGAACTCGTCTGGCTATTGGGAAACCTGGCAAGCGGGTCTGGATCTCAAGGACATACAAACACAGAACAGACCTTGGTGAATGCTCTGTCTGGGCAAGATCTGGATCCATATAACATCCACATTTGCTTTGCACCTGTCTCACGGGCGATTCGCATTCAATTCGAATCCGCAGCAATGGAGACACCACCGAGCCACCATGATCAAGTAATCGGGACATCACCAGGCCATCATCCACAACTCATCAGGTCAACACCAGCAGATCATCTGGACCCCATGTTGACACCATCAACACATCGTCGCGAGACCATCGCCAACGAAACGAGACACCACCTCAACACTCTGTGCAGATCTGGACACCATCTGAGCACCGTCGGACACGATGCCCCAAGAAGTGCTTGCATTCAGGGCTTCGCACTGGCCTTGCTCAATCGCGTTGGACGAGTCCGCCGAGGCTTCGCCTGGCGAGGTCAGCCGGGCACCTCGCGCGCTGGGTGGCTCGGCCGAGGCTTCGCCCGGCTCGCCATCGCTCGGACGTCCACTCCCTGTGCTTTTTCCCGGTCTCGTGCGTGCTTTTTTCGCCACATGATCCAGGATGCTCCTCGATGGTGCCTGGAACATATCCCTATCCCTATGCTGGGCACCTCCTCATCACGATGCCAATCTTAGGGATTCCCTTAGTTTTGGAGGGCGACTCCCTAAGATTGTCATCGCCTTTGGGCGTGTCAATCTTAGGGATAGGGATACGTTCGAGGCTGGTAACACACCTCGAGGGCCCTCGCCGAAGGAAACACGCGCGCGCCCGAGCGCTGCCGAGCCGGAGCCCGCCCGCGGGCGCCTCGGCGAACGCTGGGCACGCCCGGCGAGGGGCTGCGCCCGACGCGCCCGCCGCGCGAGGCGCCCCGCGGGCGCCCCTCGCGGGCGCCTCGCGCGCGGGGCAGGTCAGAGCCGAGGCTCCGCCCGCGTTGCCCGCCGCGCGGGCGCCCCGCGGGCGCCCGCGCGGCGCCCACGGTGCGTCCGGCGAGGCGTCGCCACGGTGCCCGCCGCGTGGGCGCCTCTCGTGGGCGCCCACGAGGCGCTGGGCCGCCGCGCGGCCTGTGCTCCGCAGGTGGCTTGCACCACTGGCCATCGCTCGGGCGTCCGTTTCCTGTGCTTTTTGTCGGTTTCGTGCGTGGTTTTTTTTGCCAAATGATCGAGGATGCTCCTCGATGGCCCTCGCCGAAGGAAAAATGCACGCGTCCGAGCGATGCCAAGACCACGCAGCTTGCACCGCGCAGCTCACACCACGCAGCTTACACTGCGCAGGCTGCATCGCAGCGTGCACACCGCAATTGCTTACACCACACGTCTTGCACCGCAGTGCTTACATCTGCCCAACATAATTAGCTCACACCACACAGCTCGCACCACACGGCTTGCGCGGGATAGCTTATAGCATCTAGCTTGCACCCGATATTGCAACACATAGCTTACACCACGTAGCTGGCACCACCTAATACACACATCCAGTGTAACAACTGGCTGCTCGACGTGCACGCTGGCAAGCATTCAAAAGACTATCGCACTCCACTAACAGACCATCGGGACTGCATCAGCACGCAACCATAATAGCATAGCAAGTCAGTTAGACACCAGTGGGTACTAACATTCAGCCGAAAGGGGTACGAAAAAAGGCATCGGCACGCCATCGGGATCCTGTGCACAAAACATCAGATGGTGCGATACACAGCGGAGTAGCCATCAACACACCCACGGGGGCGGGAAGGCGAAAAAAGGGAGCTCCCTCCCTCAGCAATTCGGCCCTCGAGCAACTCTCCGAAGGAGGGATCCCCCCTCTCTCCTTCCCGCGCGCTGAAGGCCCCCACGCCCCCGGCTTCCGAGTCTCTCTGCTTCTCGCGCGCTGAAAGGGGAGCCTCTCCCCCCTCCCCCTCCCCGAGGCTTTCGAGTCTCTCCCTCTTCCCCGAGCGCTGACGCGAAAGCCTTCCTGTTTTCGCCCCCTCCCCGCGCCGGAGGCCTCTGAAGACCTCCGAAGCCACAGAGGTGTCTCGGGAAGCGCGAACGGAGCCTGGCCATGCAATGCGGCAAGAAAACGCTCTACTCGTCACGCGGCAACGCCTGGGGGGCGGAAAGAGATATGATTCTACCCCGCTCGTCACGTGACAACGCCGCGGGGCTGAAAGGGGGAGGCTCTCCCCCCTCCCCCTCCCCGCATCTTTCGTGAGCATTGGTCAACCGATGCCCATCCCCAGCGGCGCGGCCTGGGCCCCGCTGGCCGATTTACCCCCCTAGATGGGGATATAGGCCCTTTCCTTCGGGTTTCGAGGGATGTATCCCCAACTGGGGTGGCAATCTGGTGGGGGTCTCGAAGGGGATGAGGATGGGGATGGGGGTCGGTTAAACGATACTGATTTCGAATCTCTTCCTCTTTCCCGAGCGCTGACGCGGGAGCCTTTCCCGTTTTCGCCGCGAAGTTTTCGCCCCCTCCCCGCCCCGGAGGCCTCTGAAGACCTCCGAAGCCACAAAGGTGTCTCGGGAAGCGCGAACGGAGCCTGGCCATGCAATGCGGCAAGAAAACGCTCTACTCGTCACGCGGCAACGCCTGGAGGCCGGAAAGAAATACGATTCTACCCCGCTCGTCACGTGACGACGCCGCGGGGCGGAAAGAATACCATCCCACTATATTCGTCACGCGGCAACGCACAGAAATCCGATTAAATTCTACGCGACGCGTGGCAAAGCCGCGGGCTGGAACAAACACAATGCCGTCATACTCGCCACGCAGCAATGCCTGGGAGGCGAACAGCAATAATACTCGACTCTACTCATCCCGCATCAACGCCTGTCGGGGGCAATCAGAAGCTACATCATTCTGCGCGCCACGTGTCAACGCCTAGAACCCAGGAGTGGCGGACACACATACTAGTACAGTTGCCACGACACGCAGCAACGCCTGGGGGCCGAGAACATATTCCACTTTACTCGCCACGTCGCGACGCCTGGGGGGGGCGACAAAACACGATCCCGCTCTACCCGTCGCGTGGTAACGCCTGGGGAGCGCGGAACACCATATCCCGCTCGAGCTGTCTCGCGGCAAGGCCTGAAAGGGGAAACGGCAGCCGTCATGCTGTTCCACACGCCACGACAATCGCAGAGGGGCGCAAACAAGCAAGTGCTGTCCCACTACCTCCAGTCGCGCAACGTCTGCAGGCCGAAGTCGCTAGTTCACTCGACCCGCCACGTGGCAGCGCCTGGGCGGGCGACAGACGCACTATCTCACTCTACTCGCCCCGCGGCAACGCCTCGGGGGGGGGGGGGCGGGGCACGGGCCGAACCCAACCTATGCCAGTCGACCCGTCTCGCGGCAAAGCCACAGGGCGGAGACACGCTTACTCGCCACGCGGCAACGCCTGGGAGGGGGGGGGCGAGCACAACCTATGTCAGTCTAACCGTCACGCCACGGATCGGAAAACACAAAATTCCACTCTACTCGCCGCGTAGCAATGCCTGGGGGGCGGAACACATGCTACTCCACTCGGCTCGTCACGCGACAAGGCCTGGAAGGCGAACAGCAAACTACAATGGTGTTACACACCCAACATAGCAACGCAGGTCGGAAGCACATCATATTTTACTATTCACATCACGCGGCAACGCCTGGGGGCCGAACAACTATTCCAATAGACTCGTTACGCGGCAACGCCTGGGAAGGCGAAAGCAACCTATTCCAATCTACCCGGCACGTGGCAAGGCCACGGGGCGGGAAACATAGGATTCCACTCTACTCGCCACATGACATCGTTTGGGGGTGAAAGCAAACTGCCCCACTCGACTCGTCACGTGGCAAGGCCTGAAGCGCGAACAACAACGCTACTATGGAGTTCTGCGCGCCACGTGACAGCGCAAGAGGGGCTGAGACAGATACGATTCTACGTTTCACGTCGCGCGGCAATGCAATGCCTGGAAGGGGGGGACATATTCCAAGCTACTCGCCACGTGGCAACGCCTAGACGCGGTGACAAAATACCATCCCGCTCGACTCGTCACGTGGCGACGCCGGGGGGAGGTGAAACAAATCCCGCTCGGCTCGCCTCGCGGCAAAACGCCCCCGGAAAACGACACGGAACATACGATGCTTGCCTACGCGCCCCGTGGCAACGCGGAGTGGCGGAC